CCCCGTTTGCAGACCCAGACGTGAAGGGGCTTGTGCTGGCCCGTGCAGGGAGCTCTGAGGGCCGGCCTCGCAAGGGAAGTTTACTGTGGTGCCACCGTCCAGCCCACGACCGACAAACCGACCTGGAGTTGGCACCACAGCTCCAAGGGCCCACCGTGTGCTCAGCACGTGCCGTGTCCCTGTGTTATTTATTTAATCCTCATAGGACGTGGGGATTGGCCGGCTGATCACGCTGCATCGTCCACCGCCATCCCCTCCAGCTCACTCCGGTTGTCCCGCTGCCACTACCCTCCTTTGCACGGGCAGGTATGCTCGGCTAAGCTCCTCGGCAGGTGGTGGTGCCCAGGGGGAGTGCGGGTGATTCCCATCCTTTACTGAAACGCCAGTGGCGTGTTGAGGCCTGAGGCCTGAGGCCGCAGCAGCCACCCGTGCCTGGGAGCCCGGCCCCGCGAACAGCCATGGCTCCCATGGGAGCCCAGCCCTGTGGACAGACATGGCTCCCGAGGGCCCAGCCCTGTGGACAGACATGGCTCCCCTGGGAGCCTGGCCCCGTGAACAGCCACGGCTCCCCTGGAGCAGGAGAGGGCCAGGTGTTTTATATGACTGAGTTGTGTCACATGCTAAACCCTTACGCCCACCGCTTTCACGAGCGTATGCTTTCAAGGTCCAGTCCTGGTGACATTGGCGCTCCTGTCAGTGAGCGACATTCTGTCCTGTGAGGTTCCAGTCCAACCCAGTCATTCCCTGGTGGGCAGGGGGTACCTCTGCTGCTTGGCTACTATGAGTTCACTTCTGCGAACCCTTAAGTGTGCAAACGCTTCTGCGAACACCCAAGGTGTGTGAACACTTCCGCAAACCCTTAAGTGTGCAAGCACTTCTACAAATACCCAGGGTGTGTAAACACTTCTGCAAACACCCAAGGTGTGTGAACACTTCTGCGAACACCCAAGGTGTGTAAACACTTCTGCAAACCCTGAAGTATGCAAACACTTCTATGAACACCCAAGGTGTGTGAAGACTTCCACAAACACCCAAGGTGTGTGAAGACTTCCGCAAAAACCCAAGGTGTCTGAACACTTCCGCAAAAACCCAAGGTGTGTGAACAGTTCTGCAAACACCCAAGGTGTGTGAACAGTTCCGTGAACACCCAAGGTTTGTGAACACTTCTGCGAACACCCAAGGTGTGTGTATACTTCCGCGAACGCCCAAGGTGTGTGAACACTTCCGCGAACGCCCAAGGTGTGTGAACACTTCCGCGAACGCCCAAGGTGTGTGTATACTTCCGCGAACGCCCAAGGTGTGTGAACACTTCCGCGAACGCCCAAGGTGTGTGTATCCTTCCGCGAACCCCCAAGGTGTGTGAACACTTCCGCGAACGCCCAAGGTGTGTGAACACTTCCGCGAACGCCCAAGGTGTGTGAACACTTCCGCGAACGCCCAAGGTGTGTGTATACTTCCACGAACGCCCAAGGTGTGTGAACACTTCCGCGAATGCCCAAGGTGTGTGTACACTTCCGCGAACGCCCAAGGTGTGTGTACACTTCCGCGAACGCCCAAGGTGTGTGAACACTTCCGCGAACACAGGTGACTGTCCCCACAGCAGGCGCGCCGTCTACTCCCCTGGGGACAGAGGTCCAGTTCTCCATTTCCTTGCCGACACTGTGCGTCCATTCTTGTAGGTACAGAGTGGCACCTCGATGTGGCTTTGATTTTCTTTGACATAAGGCTGATATTTCGAATGCCTTGTCTTGTGTTCATTGGGCACATGTGTACACTTTTGCAAAACTATTTACTCCAAAATAAAGAATTTTAAAGTGGAAAAAATACAACATGGAATTAGCATTTACAAATGTCCATAATGCATTAAGTCTTTTCAACTCTTATAAAAATTAGTCATATTTTTAACCACATTTTCCACAAATGCGTCAGAGAAAGTGAGAAGGCTGGAAGGGGGACATGGCTGAGCCAGGGCTCAGACGGAGCCCTCAGACCCTCCCTCCACGCCGTCGGAATCTGCGCCTCGTCGCACGTTCACAGGTCGGGAAGTGGCTATGACTGAGCAGAGCACAGCGCGAGTCCCTCTCTTTGGAAAAAAAAAAAAAAGTGAAACTATAAAACGTTTGTGGAACAGTGCAGCAAAGTCTCCATCCTCTTCCTGAGACCAGGGGCCGACCAGGGTGTGGTGGGCCATGCCCGTGTGCTGTCCCCAGTGCCCGCGAGTGGTGAGCACGCCCTGCCTTTGCTGATCTGCTCTGTCCAGCCTCCGGCGGGAATCCCGAGAGCGGCTTGGGCAGGCTCCTCTGTGGTCGAACACGCTAGAACATCCATGTCTCCACGCATGTGTGTGGGCTCAGCACGGCCCCCTTCCTCCCTGCAGGCACTTAGCAGGGTGTAGACTGTCACTCTACAGCGGCACATTCTTCCGGGGAGGTGGCAGCCTCATGCCGCGTTGTCTTTGAACTAAGTTTCCGCCTGCCACCGAGGAAACGGCGCTGTAGCCTGAGGGTGCCAGTGGTGGACTGCTCACTAAACCAGCGGCTTTGATCGGCTCACACGGACGAGGTGGGTGCAGACATGCAGCTGATGCTGGAGAAACGTGGCCGACTGACAGGAGGGAAGACGCTCGTGGTCCATGCAGTGCGAGGCTCGGGGTGTCGGTTCTCAGCCTCGTGGAAGGTCAGGAATCCTGTCTTTCACACCCAGGGACTCTGTTCAGAGTGCCCGCAGGTAGCCCAGCCGGCGCGCTGGCATGCAGCAGGACATCAGGAAGCCCCACGTCCAGGCTGAGTCCCTGCTGCCCGCCACCAGCACCGTAGCCATCTTGGGACGGCCTTTCTCTGTCTGCTTCAGATGAGAACACGTCTCCGAGGCTGGGAGCGGGCCCAGGCGTCACCCTTGGAAGAGTGTCAAGAGGAGGCGGGAGGCGGCAGAGGACGGGGCCGGATGTGGCGTCGGGGCGTCATGGGAGGAGACGAGGGACTGTGGTGGTTTCGTAGCCTGACTGCGTGTCCCGAAGACCCGGCCATCATGATGGTCCACATCGGGTGGTGGAAGGAGGCCCTCGTCCATATTAAACAGACGTGGGTCAGTGCCATGGTATAGCTTTCTATATTTGCAGTCAGCAATTAAAAAAAAATTCACTTTGGTTTCTTACGTAAGTCTGGATGCATTGAAGTTCAAGCTCTGCCTGAGCGTCCGGGTGCCCGTGCGCCCCGTGGTGCACAGTCTGCTCACCCCATGAGGGTGAAGCATCCCTCACGTGCCCCGGCTAGGCGAGGGCTGGTTCCCACGGCAGCACTGGCCAAGCCCTTCCTGCATCGGAGCCGGGAACCGCTGTTCTGCTGACGAGGCTCCCTGTCCCCGAGCCTCCCTGGCAGGCGTCCCTGCCCCTGCCATTGCCGAGAGGGAGCAGGTGTGCTGTGAGCGAGCCCCACTGGCCCGCGTGGCCGCCATGCCTGCACCCTCCTGCTCCATGCAGAGACGCTTGGATTTCTGAGCCATGAAATAGCAGGTCCAGGTGTGAGCTGACACGAGTGAGGGAGCACACGGCTTTGCTCCAGATGAGTGACGTTCGTTTTTATGAAGGAATTTGGAGATCGTGTCAATGTTTAGACAGGATTTCAGAGCCATGATAGACTGAAAAAGAAACTGGAAAAAGAGCAATAGAAACTCCACAGCCAAGTACTGTCTGTTTTTATGCCACCTTCCCCCGGGTTACCTCTGCTGTACGCTGTGTCTGTGCTGGAGGGGCCGGCGCAGGGAGTGGGAGGCTGAGGCACCTGAGTCCCCCAGGGCACCTGCTCAGTTCGAGTCCCGGACCTGGTGGCTTGAGATCACACTGGGTGGCGTGCGTGTGAGCCCCAATTGCTGAGAGGAGAACGGAGGAGAAGGGATCCTGGCATGGCCGCCCCCTGGGGTGAGTTCCCACATTCCCTCTCATGCCAGGTTTTGCCCTTAAAAAAACAAAAAGATAAAAAACGAGGGTGCTGCTGGGCGGTTGTCGGGAGATGTCGGACAGACCAGGCCGCTGGCCCCACTCTGCTCCTGGCGAGCTGTCAGCGCGTTTGGGGAGCGGCTCCACTGCAGGGCGGCCTGCTCATGGGCCCGGCTGCCTGTCCTCTCCGCCCGGCTCTCTGGGCAGGCGTGAGGGGGCGTGTGGCCTCTCCACGCCGGTTTCTCTCCTCTGAGTGAAAGTCGCGTTGCATCTGAGAACGCGGGGAACCAAGCAGGCTTGTCACACGGAGGAGTGCACGCTCCGTCCTGGGGCGCCTGTGTGAGCTGTCAGAGCTCAAGCCGTCAGGCGGAGAGCATAGGGCACAGGAGGGGTCCTGTGCGGTGGCTTTGCGGAGGGCACCAACCCCTAGGCCCCCCACGATCTGGCCATAGGAGGAAGCAGCCTCGGTCCAACCCCCGAACAGCCTGCAGTTGCCACCCTGGGTGGCCATGTTGGGTCAGCGCCTCGGTGTTGACCCAGAGACCAAAGGCCAGCCCTGGCATCTCAGGGCTCCTGCACCCGCTTTTGCAGGGAAGCACAGGTTTACCTCAACTGGTCCTGACACTGGAAACCTGCTTGTTAATCACTTTAAACGTCCCCCCACACACACACTTCCCGGGCCACGTGAGCAAGGGAAGAATTCTTTATTTCTCTTTTTTAGCGGTTTATGCCTTAGGGTGCATGGACTTTGCTGGAGAGAAAGAGACAGTGAGAGGGAGAGAGCCGTTTCCCCCTGGGGGATGGCCACACCACAGCCTTCTCCTCCGTTCTCCCCCAGGGATCTTGGGCAGCACGCACACGCACCCAGTGTGAGTTTTCAACCACCAGGTCCAGGACTTGAACCGTGGCTGGCCGTGTGGGGGTCCAGCGGTACAACTCCATGCCACTTGCCCCATGGGGAAGAGTTCTTGACTACACAGACATGGGGTGTGTGAACAATAACTTGCTTCCGTTTCCCGGGAGACCTCGGAACTTGAGGGAGCTGATGCTCACTCGGTCCCGGCACTCTTGGCACAGCTGAGCCTTCGGCCGTTTCTGCCCGGGACGGGCATGGCCAGCGTGGCTGGACGGCAGCTGGGCTCGGTCAGGCTGAGGGTGTGCGGGTGTGTGAGGCTGTGCGGTCGGGGTAGCTGCCATGGCTGTAACCGCATGACAGCCGCTCGCTCAGAAAGCACAGCTGGCCTGGCCCGTCCCCGCGACCTGGCAGTCTAATCTGGGAAGATGGACGAGGAACCTGGGAGTCGTGGTCTGAGTGTTCTGAGCGATTCCGTGTCAGGGTGGGGTTGGGTCAGTGTCCCCAGCTCCGGACAACACAGCTACCGGCCCGCCCCAAGGACTCCAGACTTCCGGAGGAGGCGCCGTGTTGTGCTGACACGAATCAGTGTCATTCTGGGGCAGAGCCCTCCAGCTGTGTGCAAAGGAGCTCAGTCAGGAGGCCCGATGGCAGCCTACCGGCCAGCGGGCTCAGTGCAGCCCAGGGAAGGTGCGGCCAGGGCAGCTGCAGGAAGCCCGGGGAAGCATGGCCACTGTCCTGTCCTGAGGACGCGCAGCAGTGCAGGCGCAGCGAGGGGTGGGTGCGAGGGCTGTGGCTACCAGGGTGGGCGCGTGGACCTGTCCCAAGTGGGAGCCGCTGTGGGCGAATGGGCCCTGACGGAGCCTGAGGCCTGTGTGAGGAGCCTTGCTGTGCTGTCTGTCACTCAGCGGTGCGGGGCGGGTTAGGCCGCCGGGAGTGAGCGCCAGCCCCGGCGTGGGCAGATGCCCTGTACGGAAAGGCATTCTTACCGGCTGCTACGGTGTGCGTGTGACCCTGACATCAACGCGACATGATTTGGTTGTGACAGTATTAAAGGGCAGTTGGATATGGCACAGGGATTGAGAGCCAGGGCCTTTGGAGGGGAGTGGGCTGAAGGGCATCAGTTAGGGGCCCCGTGCCGAAGCCTGGTGGGCTTACCAGGAGAGGGGTGAGAGTGATGTGGACACCAGCAGGTGTGCTGTGGCTATCTCACCATGGGACCTGCCCAGCCACGCAGCCATCATGATGCGTCCTCACCGGCTGTGGCCCCTGCAGGACCTGGGGCCTCCAAAGCTCTGAACAAAGAGACCACTGTCCTCTCTGAACGGCCCGGACTCAGGCGCGTGCCATTGGCCATGTAGGACGAGAACATGGCGGGTCTGCCTAGGGCGGCTGAGAGCGTGGGGTGCCGTCCGTGCGGGTCTCAGGAGGCCCCGCGGCAGGCTGGCCTGCAGGGTGGCTCAGACACCAGGTCCTCCGTGGGGCCCGTGAGCTGGACAGGTTCACGCAGGTGCCCACGACAGCCCTGCATCTGGGCTTGACACGACTTGGTCAGCAGCTCGCTTTCCTGCTCCAGAGCCCAGGAAGGTTCAGTCCCATAGGTTCAGTTCCCTAGCAAGGCTGTTTGTCAGAAGGATGCTTGCATAGTCCAGGAATAGTTGCGTACACCATCGGGGTGCGACCAGAGCTGGGTGAGGATGTGCATCCACTGTGGGGCGGAGGGCTGGTTCCTAGAAATGCCCCTGTGGGCCTGCCTTCTAGGGATGGTGGTCTCTGAGCCAGGTAGACGGGAACGACGAGGGCGGTCACATCGAAGTCTCTGAGAATCACCGAGGATGGGGCTGTTTTTGTTAGACGTTGTAAACCAGCTCGGGGCTGGCGCCTCCACCATGTCATTTCCAGGCCCTGGGAGTGGCGGTCGCTGGTCTCTGCTGGAAGGAATGGAGGAGAAGGAGCAGGTGGGGGGCCTGGAACTGAGGGATGCCCAGCAGAAGAAAGGCCACTTGGAAACACAGACACTGTCCAGAGCAGGACCATCTCACACAAATCGAATTTTGGCGGATGTTTTCTGACTTCATATGCACCCTGGTCTTGAGAGTGTGTGGGTGCAGGCCCCAGGGGAAGCGTGTGCACAGGCCCCCAAGGAGAGCTGTGGCCGCATGCTGAACACAGGAGGGGAGGAGGATGGAGAGACGGGGAGGGCTTGGGGGGTTCCAGTCTTCATCAAAGACAGGGAAACCCACTACACGGTTTTTGAGGGAAAGCAGAAAAAGACTGGCCATCGCGTATTCGCACATGGTGTAGGTGCTGGCCGTGGTGTGAGCGATGGCGTTCCACTGCCCGGGCTCCTCCCCTGGTCGGCTTACTAAAGAGGAAACAGTTCTCAAAGCAAGAGTCCCCGCTAGACGGTGCAGGTACACTGTGCAAACATCCTGAGGGCCGGTAGAGTCGATGGCTCAGGGACACGTGGAGGATGGCCGCCACGCGCTGAGGCCTCGCCACGTGACTGAACGTTCGCATCCCTCGCCCGCCCCACCCCGTGCCAGTGGCCGACTGTGGGGCTGGTGGTGGGGAGGGCGCCATCTGCCTCTTGCCAGGTGAGACATGGTTTGTCCCCTTTCACAAGCCATCACATTCTTGCAATTTCCCTTGACCCGAAATACTTTATAAGAGGCCTCATGCCAGTGCTCCTTGTTGGGTGTCTGATAAGTGGCAGACTCATCGGGAACCTGGATGCATCGCAGCGGCTGACGTGCATCCTGTGCCCACAGAAGAGGCCACGGGAACCGACACTGCCCGGAGAGCTGCTGGCCTGCGCGAGCGTCTGGCTAGTTCTCAAAGCTCATAGGAGGCAGCACCATTCTTAGCTCTCCGAAAATGCCGCCTCTTTGAGCTGGTTTTGTTAATGGAAATAGACTGAGGAGGACAATCTGAAGGTTCCCCGAGGCCTGCAGATGGGAGGACCACCACACGATCCAGCGCCCCCTCCTGGGCCCTCCCCAAAGGACAGGAGAACGCTCAGGTGGAGAAATGCTTGCACGACCACGTTTACTGTGCGTTCTTCACAATCGTTAAGATGGAGAATTGACCTAAATGTCCGTGAAGAGATGAGAGGACTGAGACTCAGCCGTAAAATGCAAGACCCTGGTATTTGATAGAAAATGGACAAAAATGGGAGCTTTACTGCTCAGCAAAGCCGGCCGGGCTGTGACCGTGAGGCACTGGACATCCGCACTCAGCATAAACCGCATGTCTGCACGTACGGCCGGAGCTGGACGCCTGCAGGTGTCGAGGCACGGAGGGCTCTGTGGATACCAGGGAATGGGAGGAGGCGTCTGTCTCATCCTTCCCTCCCTCAGGTGGCCCTGCTCTGCCCGTCCTGTGCCAGTTAAATCAGACCCCAGGCCTGGCTCCAGTGCCAGCCCTTCGGGAAGCCCCCCAGACAGTGCAGTCGTAGGAGCACTCGCCCCCTGGCCATCCACCCCGACTGTGAATGCTTCGTGCAGCCGCCACGTCGGTGCTCTGGTTCCTCCATGCTGTCCCTGTGGGTGGGGAGCCATGTGGTCACAGAAGACCTTGGGAAGTGACGATCAGGCCAGGATCAGGTCTGGCTCAGTGCTTAAGGGGAAAGCCAGTGCCATTTCAACTCATTAATAGGTTAACGTTTATTGCCGAATCTGCAGGGATTTGTGTCTTCCAGCCTTACGTCTTCTTCGCATTTTGCCTTTGATGAACTTGCCACTCCCACTGCTACTGTGCGTGTAATTACGGTGCTGCCGCATGGCCTGGAAGAAATACAGATGTTCAGGGCAGAGCCCTCCCCTGACCTCCCTGGGGACAGAGACCAGACCCACAGAAAGTAACAGAACAGGTCAGCTACACTGCACTCACACTGGGTGAGCTGGCCGGGCAGTCGTGCGGCCCCCGCCCCAGCAGCCGGGCAGTGGGTGAGCTGGCCGGGCAGTCGTGCGGCCCCCACCCCAGCAGCCCAGCACCCCTTCCCGGGCCCAGCTGTAGTTCTGGGGCTCAGCCTGGCCCTGGCTCTGGTCTTCTTCGCGGCCCTGGCCCTCACGGCCCTCTCATTAGAAAAACTTTTTTCTTATAGAGAGATTTCTGCTAAAGGGCACATGCACTCTCCAGAAAGCCAGAGGCAGAAGTGACCCGGGGAGATGGCAACGCCCAATCCCTTACTCCTCCTTTCTTCTCTCAGGAGTTTGGGCATGCACACACACGTGCATGGCGTATTTCATGCCACCGGGTCTGGGAGCGGCCCGTGGTCAGCCACATGAGTCCAGTGGCACCTGCTGGCCCTGGGAGAGCCCTTCTGCTTTGTCCCCCTCCCTGCCCTCCTCATTGCTGTGCTGGTTTGTCCAGTGGCACCTGTTGGCCCTGGGTGAGTCTTTCTGCTTTGTCCCCCTCCCTGCCCTCCTGGCTGCTGTGCTGGTGTCTCCCTCCAGTAAACTCCACGCACCACCTAATTTGCATTCGCAGTGCTTCTGCCCTAACCTCTCAGCGTCCATTTCCCAACCATGGTTTTAAAATAGTTTGTTTTTCATGAAGAGAAAAGCTTATATGCTTTTTGACAACATGCTTAAGTATAAGAGATCATCCTTTGGGGCCGGCAGGTGGTGTGGTGGTTAAGGCGCTGGATTCCCAAGTGGCTGATGGCAGTTTGAGTCCCAGACCCGGCTTGGGAGCCCTAGCAGGTGCAGGTGCAGGTGTGCCCCAAGTCCTAAGGGGAGGATGGAGGGGAGCGAGGCGTGGCTGTTCCCTGGGCGGTGAGTCTCCCCTTCCTTCTCACTGGCACTGCTGCTGTCTGGCGAGCACACGCCTCACGGCAACAAGCTGGACAGAAACTCATCCTCCCACAAACCCCTGCTCTGTGCACCTCTGGGTGTAGCTGTTCACCAGAGCAGGGACTGGAGTCATGAAGAGCTGCTGTGCTCCCTGGGATTCAAGGCCAGGAGGGCCTTGGCGATCCCAGCTGCTGCAGGTGGAGAGAGTGAGGCTGACCTGGCTCCCTCAGGAGTTCGGGTGTACTGGGCAGCCTCAGGGCACAAGGGGATGGCCAGCCCACACGTCTGGACTGTGGCCACAGGACTTCTGACGGCGCTAGTGGCTCTTTAACAAGTGGATTCACCCATCTGCATTCCTGGAAAGCAGAAGCTTAGAGTGTGGAGGAATGGCAGCGCTCCCAGCCAGCTAAGGGCGTTAGACCGTCCTGGAGCGGCATTCTGAGTCTAGAAAGGCTCCAGGCTGCCACAGGCTTTTTTAAGTTGGAGTTCGTTGTCTCCTTGCTGAGATGCTGCGAGGGCAGTTGGGCCTGACTTCTACATTTGGAGTAATTTTATTTTCTCTTTCACAAATGCCCTATACTTCTCCTTTAGGATGAGACAGGGGTGTGGTCTTAGCACACAGAAAGAGAGTGAATTGCAGCTTATATCTGATGTTTATTCATATTCTATCTTATGTTTTGATTTTTTTACTTGTAATTTTTTTGCATTCAGTGTCTGTGGACCTGTACAGAATACAACGTGGAATTTCCTCACGTGAATACATTGTCAAAGGTATTGCCCTACACGTTATCAGCAGATAATTTTCCATTTTTGTGTCCATTAGATGTACACTTGTGTTCTTGTATTGGAAGGGTTAGCAGAGTCAAAATGCGACTCAGCTCCAGGCTTTGTACGGCACCCCACACGCTCGGCGATCGGACGGTCGCGGGGCACATGGATGCCTGTGTTTGGGCACAAGTGGGCGGACGGGCACACTGAGTCCTGAGTGACAGTGACAGGGGCATGGTGTGCCCGGTGCTCACTCACACGCTTGGGGCCAGTGCTGCAGCCTCCAGCTCCATCAGGGACCCTTGCTGCCCTCTCCCACCACACGTCCGACATGTGGGCTCTCAGTAAGTCTCACCGTGTGATTGATCTGACTTCCCTGCCACGGACTCTGGTTTTAGATGATTGCACCAATGTTGCAGAAAAACAGATGGCGGAGGGATGGAAATACAGCACTCCGGAGAGAAGAGAGAACTCTTTAATTACATCAGCGGGCTCGGAGGAGTTAACACTGACTCCCCGGCCCCCATGGGGGTAAAGCCCAGTCTTCTATCAGGGAGTTTGAGGAGGGGCGGTTTACAGCAGGCTAGGGGTGTCCTATCCGGGATCAGAAGCCTATCAGGGAGAAGCAGCACATCAGGAAAATGCAGCCGAGTTTGTTCTCAGGAAGAAAGTGTCAGATAGGCGGGGTGTCCGGCTTCTCAAGGTCTTGGGTTGCTTTTATTACTTTAAAGAGGAGAGGCAGAGGTGGTGAATTGGCAGAATCCTGGGCGACTTTGGCGATCGGGCCGTGGGCGATCGTGAGTTCCGGGCCGTCCGCATCACCATGGGGGCTCTCGATCGTGAAGGGCGCAGGTGGACCCTCAGATTGCAAGGGTGTCGGTGACGGCGTGCTCACCCCCAGGAGGGCCAAATTCAACTTTCTAGTGGGTTATTAAAAGATTTAACCATGGGAGAACCAGCAGTTAGCGTAATGGCTATGTCGCTGGACTCCCATGTAGTCGACCGCGGTTC